TGCCTATGATATCATCGAGGAAGGGTGTACTTAAAGACTAGGAAAAGGTTTCAATTCATGGCTTACTTTCTCCTTAATGATGTTTTGTTCTTGTTTGGAGAATTAGAATCTAAAGAGCATAGCACGTCCCCCGTCTTGTCCACATCGCGTAATTCTTTGTCATCGCAAAGGCTTTGTTGTTCAGGTATCAAACTTAGCCTGAAATGTTTGTCTGTCACTTGATTGATACGTGAACAAAAGTGTTTTTTAACTTGGGATGATATAGTTGGACCTTGTTCGGAAATGTACCATCGGATTTGTACTGAACTGTACAGCTTTTCTAAGCAATAGTTTATCCTCCATTTCTTCTAATGCTTCTAACTCACCAATTGAAGGGCATCGAATTGCACTTGGTTGTGAGTCTTGTTGCTCTAGTCCTGTCTAAATATGTTTACTTTTCTCTTCTTATGGTAGATTACTTTCTTTTATTAGTTTCTTAATTTTATTTATAGGTCTCTTAGGTTTATTATGGGGCTGTCGGTATGTTCGTTTGTCCTATTAATAAAGCCAATGTAAGAACCTTTTTGGGTAGTGTTTGGCTAGACATCGATGTTAGAGTTGTTCCAGAAGGCGAGATGTTTTTGTCAAATGACTTCGATGCAGCGATCTGCAAGGCGTTAGTGTTTAGTACATGAAAAGTACAGTGATAGAAAACCATTTTATAAAAAAGCTGGAGATGAGAACTTTATTTTTAGTTTAATTCTTATTTATCAATTTGTCGATGTTCAAGAGAAGTTTTCAAAGAATCGTTAATTGGTATTGTCTCTACATGTTTGAAATTTATTTTTTTATTACCTGACTCGACTGACTACCATTATGTTCACTATTATCGGGGCTTTCTGACCATCCACTTTCTTCTCGCAGTAAATCGGTAAGAACTAATATATCACCTTCCTCGGTGTCCACCAGCCGCATAACATCGTCAATTGATAAACTACGGGGCAAAAAGCGCACCTGAATCTCTGTTATTAGTTGATTTTTATAAATAAGAGGCATGGCTGATTAATGTCTTGGAGTTTTTGGAGGGACAGTCGCTTTTTATGGCATTTTTTTTGGAGTGACAGTCATTCTTGTCTAAGGAAAACTTTTTTGCTTTTATTGGATTGCATTGTCATTCAGAAACCTTGGCATTGGAGATACTTTTGGTGAGTTGTACATTGGTGCTTGATGCTGGAAACGATAGCACAGTTTGTGAGGTTTTGTTGGTCTTCTTTTTACTCAGGAGAAATGCTTGAACAGCATCTCGACTCAAGTAATGACTGCTGCCACTTCGCAGAACGCCTAACGAACTACTTTGCCTTAAATAAAAGTATCACTGATGCAAAATATTACGATCTACCTTCTGGTTAGTAGAGTAGCAGTCCTGACGGAGAACAACTAATAATGGTTTTGGGGCGTAGTTTGGAGTGCTTTTATTTCATCTTCTACACAACTTCATTTTAAAAAGTGGGTTGCTTGCGGGAAGAACAGTGTACATGCAATCCTTGTGCGAAATGTATGAATCTGAATGGAGGAGTGTAAAACAGTAGACTATTACACTACCTACGAATTCTGGCAAATTCTTTTGTAAATTCGAGTTGATTGACTGAGTGGTCGGGTGACAAAGCATTCAGAGCTGCAAATTGATCACGACCTGTTTCATACGTTCGCTCCATCTTAGCCTGGGTTTAAATTGAATATTTTGTACATTTTAAAAAAATATGATGTATGGTAAAAGACTCAAGTTCGTATTTGGCTACAAATGTCAGTAATAATTTGTGCAACCAACCTGTATTAAGTTGATACACATTGAAACGAGTGAAAGACCGATAATAATATAAATGAATAAAGTAAGCAAATATTTTGGTTCTGATGGTGTAATATCTCCCAAACCAATGGTGCTGAAAGAAAATTAGTTTTCTTTTCATCTGCTTTCCATCCTGACCCCTGTTCTTTCTTCACCATCTTTGGCAGTAAATTTTTATTGAGCTCTTTTGCTATAGAACAGAAGAAGAGAAAACGTCTCAAAAGGCTATCTTATTGAAGGTTTTGTTACGAGTTTATTCCTCACGAAATTAAGAAAGAAAGAAATAAATAAAATTAGCGTTTCATTTTAAGCAGCTCATT